CCCCAAAACCCCAAAACCCCAAAACCCCATTTTAGAGTCTAATTATTGAAATATATAATAAAATGAGTAATGTAGTGGACCCATTGGTCCTCTTGAAGGATTATTATAAGGGTAATAAAGAGATAGAGTACAGGAGTGAAGACCATACCCTTGTATTCGGAAAGACAAAGGTCCCAGTTGACATGAAAACAGCTTGGATCAAGAAAGGAGGAACTACTCAATATAGTATTGGCGCCTTATGGTACTGCCTTATGAATAAGGATGTGTCAGTCACCACCTTCATGGAAACAGCTACCTCCCAAGGATTTGAAAGGATTTCCTTACTTGATAAGAAAAAGATCATTGACTATTTCTCCGGAGAACTTGATGATGTAGATGCTATTGATAAAACTCTTATAAAAGACACCCTTGTCAAGATTGGTCAATCTAATCAATCTGTTGAAGGTCGTTCTGAGGCAGATATATCAAAAGGAAGCACAATAGCTAACAAAAGGCAAATGAAAGCAGCAGGTAAACATGAAGAAGAGAAGATCATGGCTGGCGATTCCCATCGAAAGGAAGCCCAAAAGATTGAAGACAAGAAAAGAGAGATGAAAGTTATAGATTTCCTTACTAAAAACGAGAAGAGAGTAATCTCAAAGAACTCTATTTTGAAGTGTCCTGGAGTCAGCTTCGCCAAGATATACCAACTCTGATGTGAAATGATCAATGAGAAACCTAGAGGAGATGCTTTACTCGAGAGAGTCACAAAGAAAGGGGTCAAGAAAATCCTAGATGTTAATATATCCACTCTTAAGAAGAAACAAAAGATGTCTTTACTAGATGAGATCCTTAATTCAGGTGACGGAGATGGCTCTATAGAGGGAAGGCCTATCATAGTAGTCCCTCCAATCCCAGACCATAGCAAGTTGTGATACTCAAATGCGATCCAATTTTTCACTGAAGGGCAATACATTGATGGTAATATCGCTAAGAAAGCTGAAGGATATAACGAGTATGGAGACCATCAAGAATTCGAGTATGTTATCAACAACAAGCGGGTCAAATTTGAGCTCTATGACTCAGTAATAGGCTTCAACAAATCTCACTGGAGAAGAGTAGTAGCATACTTTGCACAGGCAGAAGAGTGGGAGCTTAAGGATTTCCCTCCTAAGGAGTCGGCTGTAGATATCTTCCTAAAAATTAGGGGATATTTCTTTACGTTTACAGGACTTCAGATTCCTAACTGCATCCAGAAGTACAACATAAAGCCATTGAGGGTGAGTCGGTCTCAGAGATATGAAGATAGGAGTATTAAGAAGGAATTTTGGGATGACCTGATCGAGTTTTTGGGTAAAGAGAGGTATAAAGGAAAGTAGAGTAATGGAGTTAAGGTGTTTTCAATGATTTTTTTGGTGTTTGGGGTTTTGGGGTTTTGGGGTTTTGGGGTTTTGGGG